TAAAATAAACACAAATACTTGTTGAATTTATTTTATTTTTGCTTTTTTGTTATTCACCTCAAGCTGCCCAACCTTGTAATTATTGTACCATGATACCAACCATTCAGTAAAAGTTTAAACAGCACAAACACTACAAGACACACTCTATACGACTTCACTAAAATAAATATTTGTAAAGGTTTAAAAATGTAGATGACTAAAGGGGGAAACGCATAAAGAAATAGATGACAAATAGAGAATATACATTTTATAGATGACAGCTCGTTAAAATAAAATAATAACAAAAATAGGTATGGTCACCATATTGAATGTATTATATTGTTACGATTTTGGATTTTAGTTAATCCCGTGTAGTCGTTGTTTTATTTCCCGATACAATTCGTACCAAATAAAACGCGGGTTCTTTCTGATTACGATTATTACAATGATTTTATTCACACAACTTTACTTTGCACTTCACTTTACTCGACGGTTTCAATTCGCGATCTGATTCACAACTGACTCACTGCCTTTCCATTTCCTCTATTTATATGCCCCTTGCCTGTCGCTACAGAAGTTTCTAGACGATCTGGTAACGCCTAGATTACGAACAATCTACCAATGCAACAAACACATACAAACTTACATTGAGTAAACAATAACAACAACACATATACAGGCGAGGGGGTAACAAAGAAAGAGGAATTAAGCGATCATTAATGATGACCTTTAACAAGAATTGTACGACAATAACAAAATAGAAAATGGAAGAGGAAATGGAAGGATGTAGAAAAATCTATACAGTAGTTGTTGTTGTGAAGTTATTCGAATAAACTGCGTAGTAGAAATTTACGTTACAATTCAAATTCTTAAATTAACGGAATTCATCTAAATTAACTTAAATCTAAAGTTATATTCGTAACATTGCCCCCCGCTTAAGCCTGTTCGTCCCGAATAGGCACAGTTCCCATTCCGTAGGGGGCCAGCCGCTCCAAATGTACAACTTTCATCTTCGACCTGGGACTGTCGCTCCTCTGGATGCGATAAACCACATCATTTATTTTCGTGACAATCTTGTAGGGTCCTTCCCAGTGCGTTTGCAATTTGGGGCATAGTCCTTTCTTTCGTTGTGGGTTGAACAATAGTATCAGTTGCCCCTCTTGGAACCCATCGGTATTTGCCGGTCGATCGTACCTTGCCTTCATGCGGTTGCTAACCATTTTTATTCGATGGCGAACTGCATCGTGGACTTTACTAAAAGAGTTTTGGCTGTCTTCATCTTGGTTCACATTGTCGTTTGGGGTAGCACCGAATATCAAATCGCCAGGTAGCTTTAATTCATTTCCGAACAGAACTTTGGCTGGGGTCCGGGATGTGGAATCATGAATGGCCGATCTATAAGCCAGTAAAAAACTTAGGAATATGCTCATCCCAGTCTCGTTGGCCACTGTCCACCACTTTCCGTAGATGTTCTTCCAGGGTGCGATTGAATCTTTCCACCATGCCATCTGATTGTGGATGTAGGGGCGTCGTTCTGGTTTTCTTGATTCCGTAGGAGTCACACATTTCCTTGAAGATCGCTGATTCAAAATTCCTACCTTGATCGGAATGAACCTCAGATGGAACACCATAGCGACAAATCCAATTTTTGCTGAACACATCCACAATTGTCCTGGCTTCTTGATTTGGGATAGCAGAAACCTCTGGCCATTTACTGAAGTAATCCATGACCACTAAGACATACCGGTTCCCAGAGTCGCTTGTGGGGAACGGTCCAGCTACATCCATTGCGATTCTTTCAAAAGGGGCTCCTGAATTATACTGCTGCATGTAGCCTCGACTCTTCCTTGTTGGACCTTTAGCTCTTATGCACCTTTCACAATTGGCGATCCAGTCGGCAATGGATTTTTGACAGCCGACCCAGTAGAATCTCTGCTTTACCTTTTCAGCGGTTTTTGCTATGCCAAGATGTCCTCCACTTGGGCCATCGTGAAACTCCGACAAGACATCTCTTATTTTGGAGTCGGGGACGACGATCAAGTTCCGGTGAGATTTACCGTCCTCACTTTCCCATTTGCGATATAAACAACCATCTATTATAAGTAGACTGTCCCACTGGGCCCAATAGGATTTTAAAAGAGGGCTTTCGGAGGTAATTTCTTTGCGACTAAGTCGCTTGCCCGTTTCCATGGCCGAAATTATTTTGCCCAGAATGGGATCTCTTCGTTGTTCCGTCGACCAATCTTCACCCGACTCAAACTGCAATCGTCGGACATCAACGATATTCTCTTTGCACTCAGCCTTTGAGCAGTGCCTGTATTCTGCCTTGCATGGCCGACGAGACAGGGCATCAGCATTATCGTGTTTTCCGCCTTCTCTGTGCTCGATTCTGTTTAACGGTGACTCATTGGTGGACTGTTGAGCCATTCTTCTACCATCTTTCGTTGGAGGTGGTGACGATGACCTGGATCGTTTGCGCTTAGCTCTGCATTCGCGCGCAATATGACCTGCTTTATCGCAGTTGTAGCATCTAACCCTGGGCTTAGTCATCCCTACTAACTTTGTTTCTTCTATTACCCGCCTCATGGCGTCCTTGATCAAGTTAACGAGATATTTGTGTTCGCAACATACGGTCTCCAGTTGGCTAATCTTGTGGGTCTGGGGCTTAACAATCATTCTTGCCGTCTCTTGGGCAAGGGCAAACGACACAGTTTCGGCAAATGACGCTTTTGGTGACGCATATGTTGCACATTTAATCTCAGGGTCACGTATGCCATTCACAAAGGTTTCGATTTTCATACGGTCCAGCAATGGGTGATTCTCTCCTGGATACGTCATTAACACCAATCGTTCCACCTCAGCTGCAAAGTCTTGTAAGGTCTCGTTTGCCCTCTGTACTCTTCCCCTTAATTCCATAAGGTAGATGTTTTGTTTATGTTCGCCACCGTACTTACGTTCCAGTGCAGCAATAACATCTTCATAGTTATTCCTAGAAGCGACAGGAATACTCTGTATAACATCAGCAGCACTGCCCTTCAATGCCAGAAGTAATGCAACCGCTTTGTCGCTGTCGTTCCACGAATTTCTAGAAGCCACTGTCTCGAATTGTAACTTGAAAACATTGAATGACGTAGAGCCGTCGAATACAGGAGGTTTGATTTTTAGTGTGTTATCAGGAACTCGCACCGGGCCACCTTTAATTTCCAGTTCCGTCATTTTCTTCTCCAGATTCGTAACCCTGTGGTCGTGGACCAGAAATTTCTCATCCACAGACAGAATCTTCTCGTCAACCGACTGCACTTTCTTATCCAACTCTTTAATTTGGACCTCCACGGTTTCCACTCTCCTTCCAATAACTTCTGTAATGTTCTCGAGTTTCTCGTTCATTATTCTCGAATTTTCATCTAACTTTCTGGAATTCTCTTCGAACATTCGTCTCGTGTTTTCTTCTGACTTTCTGGAATTCTCTTCGAACCTTCTGAAATTTTCCTCAAACATTTTGGCCAGCATTTCTCTGAAATCGTCACCCTTGGCAGCTACTGACGAGACTTCCCCACCGTTGGATTCGCCCATTTCCGATAAATCCACTTCATCCTTACTGTCAAACTCATATGTATCGATGTTCATACCACGGCGCTCGAACTCATCCAACAGACGTTTTTGTAGCTCAGCCTTGTTGCCAGTAGAGGACAATTCCAATTTATTGAGCTCCTTCTTTAAGTCTTCCACTCGTAGGTCCTTAAATTTCATTTCATCGTAGTATTATCGTAATCCCACTTCTGACACCAATTGTTACGTTCTTGGTTTTTAGTTAATCCCGTGTAGTCGTTGTTTTATTTCCCGATACAATTCGTACCAAATAAAACGCGGGTTCTTTCTGATTACGATTATTACAATGATTTTATTCACACAACTTTACTTTGCACTTCACTTTACTCGACGGTTTCAATTCGCGATCTGATTCACAACTGACTCACTGCCTTTCCATTTCCTCTATTTATATGCCCCTTGCCTGTCGCTACAGAAGTTTCTAGACGATCTGGTAACGCCTAGATTACGAACAATCTACCAATGCAACAAACACATACAAACTTACATTGAGTAAACAATAACAACAACACATATACAGGCGAGGGGGTAACAAAGAAAGAGGAATTAAGCGATCATTAATGATGACGTTTAACAAGAATTGTACGACAATAACAAAATAGAAAATGGAAGAGGAAATGGAAGGATGTAGAAAAATCTATACAGTAGTTGTTGTTGTGAAGTTATTCGAATAAACGGCGTAGTAGAAATTTACGTTACAATTCAAATTCTTAAATTAACGGAATTCATCTAAATTAACTTAAATCTAAAGTTATATTCGTAACAATATTTTTTAAAAATCCATTTGAGATATCAATGTTCAATTTGTTGGTTACTGATTGATCTACCTTGTTAAATTTACCTCTGTCTGTCGCTATTTGTTGTTGTAAATACAATCGAAAATTCTTTTTAGTAGATTATTAAGATTATTGCAGTAGGGAAAATACTTATTTAGTGCACCAACCTGCATTTGTGAATAACAAAAAGATAATAAACAATAAATAAATAATTAGTAAAATATTACTATTTCTGTACTGTGAACCACCCTGTGAATCCTGTTTTCGCACGTCATCGATAACATCGATAACACAGCAGCTGATACCAGCTGATATTGTTGTTGAGCAAGCCTAATCGGTCGATTTGTTTTGATTCCCCTATTCGGCCCGATTTTCGACCTAAGAGATACTAATCGTTGTTTGTTTTGATTCTGGCTTTTATCAGTTACGTTTTGACGCAATTTTGTCCAATTCCACAACGCCGTCAAAACTTTAGAAGCGGCATTGTACTTAACATTTTCATTCAATAGCACGCCACGGAGTTACGAGGACCGAGGAGTTACAAATTAAACAGATAATCAGAGGAGTTATTGATAAACTGATAAAGATTTTCTTCTCGCGCATACGCGCTTGAAGAAGTAAAGAGTTATCAAAGTTAAAGTAATAAAAAGTGGTGGTGATGTCCGAAAATAACACAACTGGAGACTCTCAAACGTACGTCGACATGGACGAATCTACGCAACAACTTCCACCTATTGATTTTAAATCCGATCGCTTTCCATTTTCTATTGTCTGGACACCGATACCAATGTTAACTTGGTTCTTCCCTTTCATTGGCCATATGGGTATTTGTATGTCTAATGGCGTTATACGAGATTTTGCAGGACCTTACTTTGTTTCCGAAGACAACATGGGTTTTGGACGACCCACTCGTTACCTGCGTTTGAATCCCAAGAATGTTGAAGGTGGTACATTAATGTGGGACGAAGCAGTGTCCAAGGCTTCCGTGCTCTATGGCACAAGAATGCATAACCTTTTCTGTGACAACTGTCATTCTCATGTGGCGACAGCATTGAATTTTATGCGATACCGGGACTCGAGTTGGAACATGGTAAAACTGGCAGCTTGGATATTCTTCTGTGGTAGATACGTTGGCATTGTGGGCTTTATTAAAACATGGCTGCCGTTTCTTATTGTGGTTACGATATGTACCTTATTGGGAGTGTACTTTTAAAGTTGGCAGTTTTGAGCGCATACAAATGACAAAAATAGCATCAATAATGCATTTTTAGGACTGGAGTCTTTTTGTATTACGAAAAATGTTTTAACGTATTATTCGATGGTATAGTTTAAACATTTACGAATTTTCCTATTTTATTTTTAAGTTTTATTTCAATTAGTGAATTTTTACTAATATGTTATGCAGATTTATACATAGACAAATTCAATAAATACAAATAAATCGGTTGATTTAGAAATGCATTGTGTTTGACTCCCAATATGAAATTATTTCTTGCAATATAACAAACAGCACTGTAGTTTGTAGTTAATTATGGTAATGTGAAATACTAATCCATCCAAATTCTACAATCCACACTTTAATTACGGAAAACAAACGTATACCTTGAGTTTTACATGGATAACACAGATGTCCATGTTTATTTAATTGCCAACACAAACCGATCTTGATAAATAGCAAAAAATTAGTGTATAAGACTTAAAAAAGTAGCATTTTAATTATAAAAGCAAAGACAGATTCCATAGAAATTAAATTTCATTATCACTATCATCTTCGTTCTTAAAGGCTTCGCCGGCTTCTATGGCCATAGCATGCCATGGTGCTGGATTTAGGCGATGTACTCCGTTCGTCTCTTTGCCAACCAAACTCATTTCATAGCGGAAATCTTTGTCTTTTAACTCATCGTGAACTTGATAGATACTGAAAACAAGAGAAATAAAATTATGTTATAATTCTTCCTCAGGCGAATTGAACATATTCTTACATTCTTCCAGAATTCTGTACCAAATCGGTGGTAGACATTTCAGTGTAATTAAATTTCTCCATTTCTGTTTTGGCTTGTTGTTTTGCTTTGCCACTGGCACAGGCAAAATAACCAAACGAGGAACCTGATGGTTCGATTTTGTACAATTGTGGACCCTGATCTTCATCCCAGGCAGAGAGAATCACTGAAACACCAAATGGACGAACTGCACTGTACAGAGTGTATGCATGTACGTAGGCAGCAACACGTTCCGTTAAATGACGCAATGGTATGGTACGTTCAAATTGTTGTCTGTAATTGGCAGCTTCCTGTCTTGCTATGTCCACAATATAACGACCATCGGCCAAAAGACCAGCTATAGCTAAGCCAATGTTCTTGTCGATTGTGAAAATACGTGCACCAGCATCTTCTTCATAGAGAGGGCTTGTAACAATTTTCTCCACCGCCAATACAACAGAGTCCTTTCCCCTTAGACCAATAACTGTTCCGCTTTTTTCGACAGCTTTGGATGCATAGTCAATTTGAAATACTCGTCCGTCCGGAGAGAATTGGGATGCAGACAGATCATACTGTAAATAAAATGCAAATTCTTTTTTATATACTATTTAAATGCATACACTGCATTTGACTACTCACTCCTGTTCCAATAGAACTCATATTTGACCAATTTTACGTTCGATATTATGCAAAAACAAGAATGTTGATATTTTTGCAAAATTGGACGAGTTGAAGTAATTTTGCAAGTTGTTTGGACGATGAATTGACGGCTTTTTGTTTGACGCTATTTGAGGTTATGTTTACAAATTTGACAGTTCTTAAATTCGACTTTTCATTGTGTAGAGTTGCCAAAGCAATGAGTAAATATATTAGCAAAAAATCGACTTTCGTTCATTCATGATGCAGTAAAAAGGTGGTGGTATCAGAGCGAATTAGTACAGAAAGTGTTAATTTTGCTTGATTAACTGCCAAATTTACAGAGGCGAATATTATATTTTTCGGCTCGACCAAGGTATATTTAATAAGGTAGCCGCATCGGCCCAGCTGTTGGACAAATAAATGTCAAAAATGTTGTTGTAATGTTGAACCAAAAAATTAAAAAACAAAAGTATGAATGAAAATCTCCGAATTTCGAAGAGCTTTTTTGGGAATACTTTTATTAACATTTTTTACAAAAATTTGTGTAAAAAAATCTTGTCAATCTGTTTGTTTTGGCAAAATATTTTTGACATATCAAAATACAACAACCGATGTTTGTGGTAGAAATTCGCCGATGCGGCTACCTTGTATATCTACCTTGGGCTCGACAGAAATAAATTGTGGCGAATTTGTGGCCAATACATTAGCATTTGAGATCGAATGGATTTAACAGTCTAAACGTGTTCTAAGGCTATTTACAGTGGCTTTGAGATCATTTCAAGTGACTGTCAGCTGGATATTACATGTACACATACACACTCACAATTTTTAACACTATGAAAAAATGTTGCCACGAATTTTAAAATAAAAAAATAAGATTATATCTTAAAATTGTATTAGAATTTGATATTTATAATTTTTCATTTCCTTAAATACCTATTTTCGGGGTTTCAAAATGTGAGTTAATCTATGTACACCGAGCGAATCATTTAATGAGAATAGTTACAACTTTTAGTACTTTTTGGCACAACAACAGGATTCTATAGCATAACATGACATTTTCCTGCGTTGTTTTTGTATGTTAAATGACGCAAAATTGTGCCGATTTTAGGAAATAAATGAAGCAACAGCCCTAAATCCTGAATTGTTGTATGTAAATGTGCTTTTACATGATCCAATAAACAGGTCGTGTAAGAGGCGAATATTATCGGCCATTTTGGTAGAAAATCCCTCAAATTGTCAAACGATTAAGTAAAATTTTGACAGTTCGGGTGAAAATATTACGCCTCTTACATGACCTGTTAATTGGACCATGGTTGGAATCAAATCAGCTGATTATTGCATTTACCTTGTATAATTGTACTAACATGTATTGATACCAACACACATTTATTTTTCCATCACTGACAGTCAAATTCTGTCATCTGGCAACATCGAATTGCGGCTGCACATGTTTCTTTTATTTACATTTTTTAAAACATTGTTGGTTGTGAGTTCTTTGCTGTGGAAATTTAAATGAAAAATTTGGAATAATGGCATTAAATATCAATGAAAAAAGGTTTGAATATTTTCAGAATATCCAATACTGAAATTATTAATCATATTTTCCTTTTCAGTTTTGCCGTTCAGGCACGTTATGCCAATTTCTATGCTGGCGGAGATGTAGCATGGAGTAAAGACGGCAAATGGATATTCTGCTTGAATGGATCAGAAGTAGCAAAGGTAGATGTTCAAACGGGCTTGGTAAATCGTTCATATGGTTTAAACTACAACGAGGAAGGAGAACGTATTAATACCGGTGCCGAGGAGGAAGAGAATGATGATGCCATTTACTGTTTTGATTTGTCGCATGATCAGGAATATATGGTCACCGTGCATCGTAGCAGTTTGGTTCGATTATGGCATTTGGCCACTGGAAAAATTGAAAAACTGTGGAAAAGTCAACACAAAGGCCCTGTGGTAAAGGTTGCTTTTAGCGGTGATGCAAAACTGGTCTGTACAAGTGGTGCAGATTCGACCCTGAGAATATGGGACTATAACAACAGCAGATGCTTGTGTGCCTTAAAGGAATTCACTGGTCCAGCAAATTTAGTACAATTCCATCCAAATCCTGCTAAAAATGAAATATTTGCTGCTGGTTCTGACAATGCTATTTACAAATGGAACTTCGACACTAAGGAATTGGAAGCAAAAATGAAGGGACATTTGTCACAAGTTACAGGTTTTGATTTCTCCGATAACACTGCGGAATGTCAACATCTGGTATCTGTGAGTAGGGATAAGGTTTTAATAGTTTGGAGTTTGGACGATGGCAAACAACTGAAAGTGGTACCGCTGTATGAAGAGATTGTTGGCGTGTTCTTCAAGGATAAAACCAATGCAGTAGTCGCTGGTCTAAATGGAAACCTGAAGCAAATAAACTGTTCCTCTGGCAAAATATCTGTACTTTTGGAATGTCAAGAGGAGGAGTATGAAATTAACACATTGTTAAGAAATTCGCTGAATAATCAGTTGGCGGTAGTGACGACAGATCACAATATTTTGATTTTTGAAATGGAACCCAAATTAAAATGTTTCAAACATCTAATTGGATTCAATGATGAAATTTTGGACATTTGCTTCTTGGGAGAATCGGAGGAATTTTTGGCTGTTGCCACAAATAGCAAACATATCAAACTGTACGACATTGAAAATGACATGAATTGTAACATCATTGTGGGCCACAAGGACACAGTAATGACCCTTTCGTCTCCTGGATCCAGTAATTTACTGCTGTCTGCTGGTAAAGACTACAGTATTTTCTTATGGACTTTAGACAAGGAAAATGCAACTTTGAAATGTTTGGCCAAAAATACGAGCAGTCACACAGCCACCATTGGTTGCATAAGCTTTGGTTTTAATTGCAGCAATTTATTCGCATCAGTATGTCAAAGTGGTAGTATGAAAGTTTGGACCCTTAAAAAGAATCCTAAAAAAGAGGAATACGAATTCTTAATCAAATATGCTGCATTGGCTCATGACAAGGAAGTGAATAGCGTTGCATTTTCTCCTAACAACAAAATTATAGCAACTGCTTCACAGGATAAAACTGCAAAATTATGGTCAGCTGACTCGCATAGCATAATTGGCACTTTGCGTGGCCATACCCGTGGTGTTTGGAGTGTTCGATTCTCTCCAACCGATCAAATTGTTTTGACAACCTCTTCCGATTGCAGTTTACGTTTGTGGTCCTTGTCGAATCTGTCCTGCCTAAAACGTTTGGAACAGACCGCAACAGTCCTGAGGGCTGAATTTATAGATCATGGCAAATATATCATATCTTCCGGTTCCGATGGTCTCCTCAAAGTATGGAATATAAAAACCAATGCATGCGTTCAAACTCTGGATGAACATGACGATAGGGTATGGTCTCTGGCGGTATCTTCAAAGACACAAAAGTATTTCTTCAGTGCTGCTGCCGATTCTAAGCTTATCAAATGGAAAGATGTTACGGAAGAGTGCAAAAATTCGGAAATTGATAAACGCCAAGCTGAACTACAGGAAGAACAATCATTACAAACATTGTTGCATCAGAATAAGAATTTGAAAAAGGCATTTGTTTTGGCTTTGAAATTGGGCAAACCCCGAGTAACGTACAATATTCTAAATCAATTCATACAGAAACGAGAACATGCAGCAATTGGCGATTTAATAACGCAATTGAATAATGATCGGAAGCTAATATTATTGGATCATGTCAAGGTGTGGACTTGTAATGCTCGCTATTCACAGGTTTCCAATGTTGTGTTGCACCACCTCTTGAAGGAAATGTTGGTCGAGCCATCATTGCAAAGATCACTTAACGCCAAAAATCTGGTAGAAGTAGTTACGCCATATGTGCAACGTCATTTTAAGCGAGTAACTGAGTTAAGTAAAGAATTAAATTTCTTAGATTTTATTGTTCAAAATATTTAAATAAAATGTTGTATTTTATATAAAAGATAAGAGTGTTTTGCTTCAGTTTTTATTAAACATCAAGGCTCATGTTGTTTTTGTCTAAATAACTTCCGATATGTGGCTTGTTTTAGATTAATAGTATTGATGTATTATACAAATGAAAAATATATGCTACAAGCACTAGAATTCTGGTACAATTATGTACATATTAGAAAAATGTGCCCTTCGCCTACAGATGTTTATAACTCAATCCAGATAGTCATTAACTGAGAATTAATATTTTACTCTATTTTAAATCCCTTTCATGGGAAAAGGTAATGGGTTGGGAAAGATCTCCAATATACCTCAATGACCAATAACCAATCTTATAGAGTTTACTTCAATTGTAATAAAGGGATTTGTTCAGCGAAATCAAACTGATACCATTTATACAGATTTTAGTAAAGCTTTTGATAGGGTTAACCATGAACTCTTATTATATAAATTAGATAATATGGGTTTCAGTATAAACTTAGTCAAATGGATATCATCTTACTTACAAAATAGATCACAGCTAGTTTTGTTTGAAGGATGTCTCTCAAAATCGATTAACGTACCTTCAGGTGTTCTACAAGGAAGTCACCTCGGGCCGGTTCTTTTTCTATTGTTTATAAATGATTTGCCAACTTCTGTAGTACATTCTAAATTGTTAATGTATGCAGATGATGTCAAGTTATTCATTACCCATAATTCTGAGAAACAATCCATTTTACTCCAAAATGATTTAAATAACCTTTTTCAGTGGTGCAGATTAAATTGTATGGATTTAAATTTTAACAAATGTAAACATATGTGTTTTTCTAGAAATTCTTCATTGATGAGGCAATACAATATTAACGGTTCGGTTTTATCAACAGTTGAAACATTCGTGGATCTAGGTATTTTAATGGATCCAAAGTTAAACTTTAACAATCATGTTATTTCAATGGTAAATAAAGCATACGGTGTATTAAGTTGTATAAAACGGTGGGCCAAAGAATTCTCGGATCCTTATATAACAAAACAACTATACACGCCTCTTGTTAGACCTATATTAGAATATGGTTCTGTTGTATGGGATCCTCAATATGCAATATATTCCGATAAAATCGAATCAGTGCAGAAACAATTCTTACTTTTTGCACTGAGAGGTTTACATTGGAATAGTGATTTTGTGTTGCCTTCTTACACTAGCAGGTTAAAATTAATTCGGTTACCTACATTAAAAAGTAGACGTATTATGTTGAACACTATGATGGTACTAAAAATATTAAATGGTAATATACCCTCTGATTTCCTAATTTCATCTATTAGAATATATGTTCCTTTTCGAGCTAGTAGATATTATCAACTATTACATGTAGATTTTCATCGCACAAATTATTCTATGGGAGATCCACTCAGTAAAATTTGTATTGATTTTAATTCTGTATACTCTAATGTAGATTTTAGCAAGAATGTTGAATTTATAAAATCTAATATAATTGTATTTTTAAATGAGTAGTGCAACTTAAGGGGACCCCCCCCCCATTCTCGGGGTCAAAAATTTTGTTGATATAATTCGAATCTACACTAATTAAAGAATGTCCCTACAAAATTTCAAGTGAAAATCTCAAGAACTCTTGAAGATATAGGCGATTTATTGTGTCAGCATCAGGTGACGGCTGAAGGGCTTCTCAAATTTTAAACGCGTTTTTCTCTAAACATTTTTTTGCGAATGGCGGGCACGATAACTCAAAAACTAATAACCCAATCAATTTCAAATTTTTACACGATTCTCTGGGAGTGTATAGCTATAGTATGAACTAGGATAAAGCCAATCGGTGAAGATCTTCCTTATTTTTTGACTTGGGCTTTGGTAAAAAATCGGCGATTTTCCAAAAATATTTTTTCAAAGGTCCACCATTTTGTTAATTTCACAGCGAAGTCAATAATCCTAGTTCATACGAGAGCCAGGCATGTACTCTTTCTAACACCGTTGGAATTTTCGGATTCCGATGTTCCAGTGAGGATTTATCATGCCCGCCATCAAAAATAAGGACTTTTCTTTAATTACAAAAAACAACAACAAAACAATAACAAAATTTTTTTGTAAATTATTTTTCTTCTATTTTAAATCTTCAATTATATATGTGTAAAGTTACAAACCTTAACAAGCATTGGTATTGATATACCAGCCCATTGAAAATCTTGAAAAATTAAAATCGAGAATGGGTGGGGTTCCCTTAATAATAAACTGGCTGTTGGAGTAGATTCTGTAGCTGGTTTTCTATTCCCTTCTCACATTCCACCATGATGCGGATTATGGTGTGTACGCGATCCCTACGAAAGGGGAGGTCGCCCCCTCGGTCGGCAGGGGTGGGAAAGTGAGGCGTGGGAACGTTCGAAAAAAACAAAAAAAAAAAAAAAAAAAAAAAAAAAAAATCTCTATCATAATGATCTCGCGATTCCAACAGATAGACGTATATGGGTAAATCGGTACATAATTTTATTAGATTCTGTACCGAAATCATTGTATGATTTGTCGAAAGTCTTTTTGATAGTCAACACACAATAGTTAATACAGACGCATATTATAATAACACCCGCATATAGGCATCCTAAATGAATGGCAAATATATTTTTTCATAGAAACTAAACACACAAGTACAAAGTAATAAAACGTAACACTATCTTTGAACATGCTGTGCGTTCGGTATTTTGTGAAAAATATTTTTCTTCGTTTATTTCATCATTAAAATGTATAGGAAAATTCGAATATTTAGCAAAAACAGTCGTTACAACCGATATGTCGTTATAAGCGTGTGGGCTATAAAGGGCAGAAATTCAAATCTTTTGGATTACGTCCTATAGCAGATATGTCGTTATAAACGATTTCGACTGTATGTCAATGCTTATTCTCCAATAATAGAACAAACTTGGACACTGTTTAGGAACGTCAGGAATTGGACATAATTCATGAGTAAAGTCTATATTTACCACATAATTGCCAATAAAACGACAGATTTTACAATTTTATATGTTTGGTTTATTTGTCTTTATCTTTATTTTTCAAAGTTTAACGGTTATGTTTAATGGATTTTTCACAAAAGAAAAAAAATGGCTTTAACGTATCTAACAACTGGGGCTTGTGGTATGACATTGAAATTGTACAAAAAATAAAAACATACATTAAATCAACGATTATAAAAAATGAGAAATAATAATAAAAAACAGAATATTCAATATTTTCTTTCTACAGCTCTTAACAGCAAGTATAACAAATCGATTACAAAAAAGGAAACAAATTATAAAAAAATAATAATATAAGTAATAATAATAATTAATATAATTACAAAACTTACAAACTGCGCTTTGTGCGTTTTCCGCTAAGAGACAAGTAAAAAGAGAAGGACAATCGATAACCATATAACACAGAAAGGATAATAAAGTAACACAGCAAACATTTGAACATGAATATGCATTGGGTTACACAGGTTGGTAGTATTATCGTTTTAGCTTAATATATAAATGTGTATGTATGTACGTGTATAGTATATTATGTATGACAATTGATGTTTCGTCGCTTTGTTTCAGTTTTTGAACTTTATGAATTGGTTGGCGTTTTTATTTTCTTTGTAACAACTATCACTGGTTTGAACACTTCGATTCTCTATAGAGAAATTGGTTCTATTCATTTCGATTGTAAAGATATCTAAAATAATGCTCGCAATTGTTTGTTTCTTTTTTTCTACTTGTATAGAATAGATGTGAGGGTAGTTGTTGTTCTTTAGCGTTTAGCGGTTATAAAACTATTTCTAAGAGAGAGAGAATGAGAGGGGTAATAATCGTTATATGGGACCAGCCTATTCAACGGTCATCAACAGATCGTCGCCCTCCAATTTCATGCCGTTGGAAATTTCCAACTTCTTAACAACACCAGCCTTGGGAGCTTGGACAACCATTTCCATTTTCATGGCAGACAAAACTACCAATGGTTGACCCTTTTCAACTTTGTCGCCTTCCTTGACGCGAACATCGATCACAGTACCGGGCATGGGAGCACCAACTTCGTTCTTGTTGCTCTTGGAGGCCTTGGGGTGGATGTGCAATTCCTGGAAAAAATCCAATAAAGTGTGAGACCAAAGGAACATAATCTGTGTGTACAAAAATGTACTTACCTTAACAGCTTCCTTGTCACGAATCAACACGGAACGCAATTGGCCGTTCATTTCGAAGAAGACTTCACGTTCACCATTGGCGGTCAAATCTTCGGCCATAGCCAAGGTCTTCAAGCTGATTGTCTTACCCTTTTCGAGATTAACTTCGAATTCTTCGCCAACCTTTGGTCCAGTGAGGAAAATGCGGGTATCCAATTTGTCTACGGGGCCATATGACTCGCGGAAGTGCAAGTATTCTTCGGTAACAGCGGGATATAAGGCAGCGGACATGACATCACGTTCAGTAATGTGAGGATGGCTTTCTTTAAGGTCCTTCTTCAATTTGTCAAAGTCCAAGGGGGCCAAATTCTCTCCAGGGCGGCCCTCAATGCGTGGCATGTCCTTGAGAACACGGGAGCGCAAAGGCTCTGGGAAGCCACCATGAGGTATACCAATGGAACCCTGCAAGAATTCAACAACCGACTTGGGGAATGACAATTCTTCGGCCTTTTCCAAAACTTCGTCGGCAGACAATTTATTTTGCACCATAAATTGAGCCAAATCACCCACGACCTTGGATGAGGGAGTGACTTTAATGATATCACCCAACAACAAATTGGCTTCTCTGTAGGCCTTCTTGACATCCTCGAAGAAATCGCCCAAGCCCAAGGAGAAAGCTTGGAACTGCAAATTGGTGTATTGGCCACCGGGAATTTCGTTCATGTAGACATCGGCGTTGCCAGATTTCATGGTGGTTGTGCATTCGAATGGTGCATATAGGGTACGGGTTTGTTCCCAGTAGGCGGAGTATTCGGATACATCGCTCAATTCGAATTTGGTATCCAATGGAGTGCCTTGGAGGGAGGCAACAATGGCACCCATCGAAGGTTGGGAAGTCATACCAGACATGGAATCAACGGCGACATCGACAACATCAGCGCCAGCTTCGGCACAAGCCAACATAGAGGCAACACCAGCACCGGAGGTGTCATGAGTGTGAATGTGAATTGGAACATCGGGATGTCTGTCACGAATGGCAGAAATCAACAATCTGTAAATAAGAAAAGGAGAAAAGTGATGTTAATTTACTGCAATCTGTGTGGGTGATGATGAAGTCTTACTTGGCAGCTTGAGGTTTCAATAGACCAGCCATATCCTTAATACACAATACATGAGTACCGGCCTTGACTAATTCATCAGCCAAGTTGGTGTAGTATTTGAGGTCATATTTGGAGCGGTTGGGGTCACTGACATCACCGGTATAAGAAATGGCAGCTTCGACAACACCACCGGCTTTGCCAGCAGCTTCCATACCCAAAATCAAGTTGGGCAAGTAGTTCAATGAATCGAAGACACGGAAGATATCCATACCAGTTTGAACCTAAGGAAGGACACATGAGGTAATCATTAATAAACGAAGTCCACGTTCAATTTTTTTTTTTTTTTTTATTTCAATACTTACAGCCAATTCACAGAATTTGAAGACAACATTATCGGGATAGTTGGTGTAACCAACAGCGTTGGCACCTCTCAACAACATTTGGAATGGAATATTGGGGATCAAATTACGCATTTCTTCCAAACGTTCCCATGGACATTCGTGAAGGAAACGCAAGGCAACATCGAAGGTGGCACCACCCCAATTTTCCAGGGAATACAAATCGTGGAACTTGTTAGCAACATATGGCGAAATGTTCAGCAAATCGTGGGAACGTACTCTGGTGGCCAACAACGATTGATGGGCATCTCTGAATGTGGTGTCCATCAACATGAGGTTTTTGCGGGAACGAACTTCCTTGGCGAAGGCTTCTGGACCTTGGGTGGTTAAGATGTGGCGCAAACCCTTTGGAGGTTCGGTAACTAAAGGAGGGATTATTATGGGCGAAAGCAAGGAAATTAATTAGTGAAAGTGATTTTGATTTTTGCAGTTTGGTGTTTTTTGTTTATTAGATTATATACATATGTACATATGTATGTAAGTTTTGTTTATTAAAGCTTAAGCCTTGATTTAATTTTTTGCAGTTTTTTTCTATTAATTTGGTTAGTTGGAATTATTAGTTTTTGGTCCTAAACACAAAATGACGGGGTACATTATCTACATTGATTGATTGTGTTATTAAATAATACATACAAATATACAAAAACTTAATATGTGTGTATGCAACAATATATACATAAATGTACAAAATGAATACATTAACTAAAATTAATTTATAGAATTGGTGTGGATTCAAAGTCTTGAACTAAATTTGAATAAATGGTGTTCAATTTTAATATATGTAAATACAAAATGTAAATAATGATGACCTATCGCTGGAGTATCATTTGTAGGCATGGGAACTTAGTTTTGGAATATTATTTGTAATAAATATTTTAAAAATATTCCCATCCCCGTAGTAATTGTTCATTAATTCTATGTAGGTTCTATGTGGACTGAACTTTCTTTGACATGAAAAGTTAACCCAGAATTATTATTTGTGATGAAACGTTCTGTGAAATTTCAAATATATTTTTAAAAATGTATTTGAAATTTGCAAGTATTAAATCAGGATTTGTTATTCCATTTGTAGTGAGAGGAAGCATTTTATCGAGAGCTATAATTATTTTTTACTAGATTTCAATATATTTTTTATAAAAAGGGAATTTGCTGAGATCAATTTTATAAACCCTAACTATGCGTAGCTATAAAATACGTGTATATGGGTTAACATTTTAAGAATAAAATAGTATCTGCTATTATTACCGATAATGATATTAATGATAGATGTATTAATGTATGTACAGTATGTGAAAAATATTTTATTAAACACTTGTATTTAAAATGAATAAATTTTGATGTGGTTGAAAAAGAACAGGAGATTCGAGTTCACAACCACGATTGGCCAAATTGTAATGGACTTTAAATCCACATCCCTAGAACACCTTAAGTTGTTGTGCACATAACATACCTTTAGCTTCGCCACGTGATTCACGTTCAATAGCCTCGGGTGATAAATCTTCAATTTTTTTCATTTGAACGTGGCAAAGATATTTTGATCGTGTCGACATTCATTGTGGTTTTAATGATTTCGAACAGTTTTATTTGCGTTTTTGTTTCGGTTTGTTTTTTTTTCGATTTTGAAATGATTTGATGCAACATTTTGGGATTTTTGGTTTAGGCGTGGATTAATAACAAAATGCAAAACACATAAAAGTAGATATAAATTGAAAATCAAATTTAAGTAACAAAGGGAAAAGAAAAGTGTTAATTAAAAAAATTATATAAATAAATAAGCTGCAACATTTGTATTTCAAAAGCATTGTTGTTTTGGTGTATTTCTGCTTGAAAATAAAATGAAAGTCACACATAAAAAGCAAAGTGTAAAAGGAACCATTTCCAATTAGAAAACCAAGTCAAATAAAAAGTGAACCCTATCTACCTAAATGTTCGAATTTTTTTTGTCGAATATAATTATTATCCGGATTAACCAAATGTTCCCAATTTTAAAACTTTTTTTATAATATCAATTTGGAAAATAGTCTATTTGTTTGGCTGACAATATATATGTGTTCCTGAAATTTTAAACATGTTTATGATATCTTTTAATATTCAAAACATTCTTTTTAATTTGAATCAAAAGACCTCTAAATAGCTTGATTAGAATATAAAAACAAATTACATAAACATTGCTAGTGAATTCCTCGAAATAGTTGGATTCGAATTAAAAAAAAAACAGTTGTATATCAAGACTATTACAAAAAAATAAAATATTATAAAAAAATAAATTTATCTCGTATTTATCTCTACCATCAAAATCATCACGAGAAAAAAAACATGTCAGTCATAACCTCACTTCCTGCCTTCTCTTTCTACGTAATCCCCACTATGCTACAATTCGAGGCTTTGCATTTAGTGCATTTTAGCTTTTTTATCTTTTAGAAATATTCATAGTTGTAGATGTTTTTTCTCAATTCAAAAAGGGAAACTATTTTAACTTACCCAAAGGCACTGATGGGATATGTGGCTTAACTTCGGCTGGTTTCAAACCAGTAGCCAATGGAGTCTGTGGTCCATTCACCAACACTTCACCCAAATAGTTCAACAATTTTTGAGCACGATTTTGTGATACACGGAATTTGAATAGCTGAGGATGTTCATCGATAAAGTATGTGTCCAAAACACCGTGCAAGAATTTCTGATTTTCCAAGACGTTCAACAAGAAAGGAATATTTGTCTTGACACCACGAATACGGAATTCACGCAGGGCACGGTTCATTTTCGAGGCGGAGCTTTGTAAGTCACTGGCATGTGAGATAATTTTGACTAGCAGGGAATCATAGTATGGCGAGATGATGGCACCGGCAAATGCAGAGGCACTGTCCAAACGGATGCCCATACCTTCACCAGAACGGAAGACTTCCAAACGACCAGTGCTGGGTTGGAAATCGTTGGCGGGATCTTCAGTGGTAACACGACATTGGATGGCATAACCACGTGGTTTGATTTTGTCTTGGGTGTAGCCCAATTCAGGCAAAGTCATGCCTTCGGCGACACGGATTTGAGATTGCACCAAATCGATACCGGTGATTTCTTCAGTTACAGTGTGCTCTACTTGGAGACGGGCATTGACTTCAATGAAGTAGAAGTTACCGTTTTCGTCGCACAAGAATTCGACAGTACCGGCATTTTCGTAACCTACATGTTTGGCCAAACGGACAGCAGCTTCAGTCATCTGGTCACGTACTTCCTGGGGCAAACGGGGGGCTGGCGCAATTTCAACGACCTTTTGGTGACGACGTTGTACAGAGCAATCACGTTCGTACAAGTGAACAACATTGCCAGCCTTGTCTCCCAACAATTGGACTTCAATGTGACGGGGACGTTCGATGAACTTTTCAATGAACATAGCGCCATTGCCGAAAGCGGCCTTAGCTTCAGAACTGGCTCTCATAAACATTTCCTCGACTTCATCCATTTTACGAACGACACGCATACCACGGCCACCACCACCATAGGCAGCTTTGAAAATAACTGGCAGACCATGTTTCTTGCAGAATTCCAAGGCTTCTTCTTTTGTGGTTACGGGGCCATCGGTACCGGGTACAATTGGCACACCAGCCTCAATGGCAGCAATACGAGCAGCAACTTTATCACCCATCTGTTGGACAACTTTAGGTGAGGGGCCAATGAAGCGAAGACCAGCATCGATAACAGCCTGGGCGAAGTCACTGCGTTCCGAAAGGAAACCATAACCGGGATGCACAGCATCCACATCGTTCTCTTTGCAAACACGAATGATTTCTGGAATGTTTAAGTAAGCTTCTACTGGGGGCAAGCCCTTGCCAACCAAATAGGATTCGTCGGCTTTTTGGCGATGCATGTGCATCTTGTCCTGTTCTGAGTAGATAGCTACCGATTTGATGCCCAATTCGGTACAGGCACGGAAAACACGAATGGCAATTTCACCACGGTTGGCGACCAACACGGAGCGAATGGGTTTGTATTCAACCTACAACAAAGAAAGCGAATAATGGAATAAGTTAGTGGATCTTCCAGAATATAAAAGGACTTTGAATAACTCACCTGAGTGGAGTAGGCATTTTTGTTGTACAAGAAAACACGAACACGTGGTGTGGTTTGGCGCAAACTTTTAAAGGCCGATTGGGCTGCTCCGAACAGCATTTTGAACTGAAATTAAATGAAAAATGTGAAATTAGTATTTTTGTGGATATTTTAATTGACAGTTGATGTCTTTATTTTTTTTAAATTTGCAAATAACAGAAACTAAAATGTTGTTAAACGTGCGACAGTTGACACTAACGTTGTGGGTTTTGTGGTTTCGGAATATCAGCTACATAAATATGCGCGGATGCCGCCTGTGTCGTGTCTAAAGCTTAATCTCGAAAATGTTATTAACACTAGAAAGACGGGAATTTTGTATATACCTATATTGCCTAAAATCTGTCAAAATGACCTCATTCTGAAAGAATTTTTATTGTGTAAAAAATTTTTTTTAACAAATTTTTTAATATTTTTTACATTATTTACAATTGTACAAAACGTTGTTATTATTCGTTTTCGGTGTTAGGGCTCTCGAGTTTCCCCTTTTAAAAAATAAGAGCGCGGACAATATGTTCGAAAAAGAGGAAGTCTTTACTCTAAGAGTGATATCGACTGGAAATATAAAATGTATTTTTCCCGATTTGTATGTTCGTTTGTGTTTCTAGAGTAGCAAACGGGTTTCGACGATGTTGTACAGATCTGGTCGTATAAGAAATTTACTTTATACAATAATAAAAGTAGTTTGATTATTTAATATTTTTCAAAAGGTCAAAATGACCGCTTTTAGGCAATATAGGTATAGCACATGTGAATACGGGAAATGAAAGAGGGGAGGAAGGAGCTACTATGATTAATAAACGTATTTCTATGTGGTACAAAAAGTCACCAAATTTTAAAAAGCTGGGTCATAATATACACAATTGTTTTTATACTTGAAATTGAAAAACGGTCAAAATGACTGCCTTCGGCAATCTAGTGTTAATTGTGACGTAGAATTATTGTAAAAGTATATTATGTGGTTTGGTTTTTTTCATGATTACCGTCAAATTGTTAGGACTGTGGTCAATGGTTTTCTGCGATTTTGCTTAATTTTTTCGTAACTAATTAAGGGAAAATGTTTAATTTGTTTTTTTTTCAATCGTTAATTGGCTAAAATTGTGTATATCTGTCAAGTGTTTAAACTCAAGTGAAATCTTTGATTTTGCAAAACTCAATGTCTGTTTAAAAATCAGTATGTAGTCTTCGTTTTTTAATGTGTATTAAATTACAAAATCAAATTGTAAACATTACTCATAAAGTGAAGGGTAATTGAGTGTCTGTAGGTCAGTCGGTCTCCTCGAACCACGAGCGCCTAATACAAACCGTGTATGGAAATGTTTTTTTTTCGCTTAAAAATTGTATGCAACAACAAATGTATTTTCATTGCGTGTTTACAAGGATTTCTTATATACTATTGGCAAATCATTTTGAGATATTCGACTTTGGAATGATAGAAATTGAAATGGGAATAAAATAAATGCAAAAAGAATAACATTTAGAAAAATCAATACAGATTTCTTTATATGGGCACTGAAGTCATTATCTATGAATATCATCATTTTTCTTTAGTTTATATAATAGATTATTCTAATTTTATTATGATCAGAAAATGTCAAAAGTATGTCTGCTATTTTTAGCAAAAATTTTATATTTGCTGTATCCATTTGTGAATACATGTCTCAACTATTTTTTAGATTGTTGTTCCTAGTTTTTTTATTTTTGGATTGCCAATTAGATATTCAATGCATTTTAACGAAAAAAAATGCCGGCACTGTCAACGATGAAATGTCTGGCTAATGTTATTGGTTTTTTTATTAAACTTGAACTTGAAACAAGTTTTGAATTTATATCGTTGTTTTGGTGTGAATATTTTGCCAAAAAAAAGGAAGGCAAAGCGTGTATAATTTTTTTTGGCCATAACATATGTAAATTGGTTTAAACAGTGAAACAGTGTTATAACGAATAGTGATTCTGTGAATGAATTGGTCTTAATGCAATGTAGGCCTGGAAATATTCATATGTGTGGTCCTTAATGGTAATCAGTTATAACTGTGTTCTACTGTTTAACTACAAACATCCAATTTGCTTAAAACTGGTTGAAAATTAAAATTTGAATAACTGGTATATAGGTGGATGGATGACTCTCCAAAAATTAAGTGCATACTTTTGGAAGGAGTATGCTAATAAATTAACCTGCATTGAAGTGCATTGGCTGCACGTTTAAATTAATTAGGTTATGTTTGTTAATAAAAAAATACAAAGAAACCAAAAAATATAAAGGATTTCGATTGAAATTGAGTTTTATCGGATTTTTTTAGCAAACAAATCAGTTTTATGATGTAAATTTTTTGAAAAGAATGCAAAATTAAATTTGCAAATTCTTGCAATGTTGAAAGTTTTTGTTCAGGTGAATTACAAAAAATCAACCCTGTTCGTAGTGGCTTCTAACATCAAATATAAACAGAACAGTTTATAGCGTCTATTTAACTTTTTTTTCAACGCAAAAAATTAATGAAAGGTTATGATTTCTTCCCAAAATCGGGTAGGGCATAGCATGAATTGTTTGTTTCCCGTTTACATTCCCAGTAACATTTACTCAGTAAGAATTTGCAGAGAGTTAATACGAATAATACGAAGGCATGCATCCAGTGTGTTAGACGTCCGATCGATCCGAGGAGCGAATATCGATTCGGACCATTACCTTGTGGCAGCCAAGGTACGCACCCGTCTAAATGTTGCAGCAAAGGTGCGATCTAATACAACACGGAAACTCGACGTCGAAAAGCTGCAAACACAACAGGTAGCCGAGGCCTACTCCGCTCAACTTACCCATCTGCTTGAAGAAAGCACTTCTTGTCCCGATAATAGTATAGAAACACAATGGCAAAGAATTGCCCACTCCCTACAAACTGCAGCAAAAAGAACAATTGGGTACCAAAAACCACCACCAAGAAACCCATGGTACGATCAGGAGTGTCGTAATGCTACTGATGTGAAAAACGCAGCGTATAGGGCAACCCTGCAGACAGTAGCAACACGTAACGTGATGGAGAATTATCGGGAGAAAAGGAGAGAGGAGAAACGTGTTTTCAGAAAAAAGAAGAAAGAACAAGAAAAACGTGAGCGTGAGCAAATCGAGATGTACAGGAGTCAGAATGAAGTCCGGAAATTTTACCAACGAGTAAAACACCAAACCGAAGGCTTTGGTGCAGGCACATCCTCCTGTAGAGATGAAGAAGGAAACCTGGTGACAGATACAGACAGCGTGTTGAGGATCTGGAAGGAGCATTTCGAAAAGCTACTAGTATCAAATAGTGGAGATGAAGAATATACCCCAGAACCAATAGAAGATGATGGTATAGAGTGTATACCACCTAGCCAAGATGAGGTCATAAAAGCAATTAATCGGCTCAAGAACAACAAAGCAGCAGGAAATGGGTTACCAGCCGAACTATTCAAGACTGGTGGCCAGATGCTGGTTGCACCAGCTGATTAACACAATTTGGCTAGATGAATGCATGCCCAATGATTGGAACCTCAGCATCCTGTGTCCCGTGCACAAAAAAGGAGACAAGACGATATGTGCCAACTATAGAGGAATAAGTCTCCTTCCCATCGCATATAAAGTGCTATCCAGTGTGCTGTGTGAACGATTGAAGCCAATGGTCAATGACATCATCGGACCATACCAATGCGGCTTCAGACCTGGCAAATCGACCATTGACCAGATTTTCACTCTGCGCCAAATCCTGGAAAAGACCCACGAAAAACACATCGACACATATTTGCCGACTATAAAGCCGCATTTGCCTATTCATTCAGAGGTGTTTAAAGCCATGTCTGCGTTCGGCATTCCTGCAAAATTAATACGGCTATGCAGGATAACTTTAAGTGGCACAAGGTCAGCCGTTAAAGTAGGAAAGGACCTATCGGAGCCCTTCAATACCGAACGAGGATTCAAAAACAGTTTGTGTGTGATCTTTTTAACATCCTACTGGAAAAGGTCATACGTCGCAAAGGTGAACAGAAATGGCACTCTGTACACCAAACAACACCAGTTACTCGCCTACGCCGATGACATCGATATAATGGGTCGAACATTGCCGGTAACAGCCACCTTTGAACAAATTGAAAAGGAGTCAAAGTGGGTCTGGCAGTAAACGGCGAGAAGACCAAGCTGATGGTATCAACGCGCAAGACGTCCAACTCCTGTGGAACTTAAATGCTTTAGTTAAAGACTTTATATACCTTGGTACCGCCATAAATAAAACGAATGATATCAGTTTTGAAATTCGGAGAAGAATTGTGATGGCCAACAGATGCTACTATGGTCTAAGTAAGCAGTTTTCTCGCCAGATACACTTTAAATGCTACCCGTATTATATGGATCAGAAGCATGGGTACTTGCGCAAGCAGATGAGGCAGCGCTTGGGGTGTTTGAGAGAAAAATTCTCTACGGGCCGATCTGCGTCGACGGTGAATATCGGCGTCGAATGAACCACGAGCTTTACAATTTATACGCAGACATCGACATAGTCAGTCGTATTGAGCTGCAGCGACTACGGTGGCTAGGCCATGTTGTGCGGATGAATGAAGATGCCCCAGCTTATAAAAATGAGCCTATTGATGGTTCCCGTAGAAGGGGAAGGCCACGAATCAGATGGAAAGACCAAGTAGAAATCTTGGAACGTGGTCTTCCAAATTGGTGGACTTGCGCACAAGACCGACGCGCTTGGAAATCTTTTTTAAGCTCGGCTTATGGAACAACCGTTCTGTAACAAGCCAGCTAAGTAAGTAAGTAATACGAATTTTTCGTTCTCAAGAAAGAAAAATTGCAAAATGTAAACGAAGAATATCTATTAAAAAGATTTTATCGACACAGCTGATTAAAACAACAAACAATAGGGTTTTTATTACAAAATGTTCAGTCCAGTAAAAGGGAGTTAACTGATAGAGCATATTTGACAGTTGTGTTACTGAGTATTTGCAAATTCTTACAAGGAAAATTTACTCTGTAAGGATTTTCTTGTACCATCAACTGATATTTAATCAGCTGTTTTGTTATGTTTTGTAAACAAACAAGAAAATTGTTCTCAAGCAAATTGATTGTTTTG